CCTGGTCTCAGAAGGTCAGCTATGGCAGAGCCAACACAAATGCTCACCATTTCCTACACAGAAACCTGCCTTTCAGCTTGTCCCTGCCTCTGCAAATCTTACACCGTGCGGTGGAGTAACTGTGCCAGGATTGCCTTCTCCAGGCCTTGGACACTAAGTGGTGAGACACTAGAACAGGTTGCCCAGAGAAGCTGTGGCTGCCCCATCCCTGGAGGGGTTCAAGGCCAGGCTGGATGGGGCTTTGAGCAACCTGGTCTGGTGGGAGGTGTCCCTGCCCATGGCAGGGGGGTTGGAACTCCATGATCTTTGAGGTCCCTTCCAACCCCAACCATTCTATGATTCTAAGCTTTCTCTACTCTGGTCCATGCTGTGTCTTCTGATGACTGGGCATGCAGGAAGCATCTGTGCTTCAGCCTAGATACTTGCTCCCACCAGTGAAGCCTTTCCCTCTATCAAGAAGGGTATTCCAGACCCCACAGCCACTAGTCACTCCTCAGGCTAAATGGTCCACATGGTGCAGTTCTGCCTAAGACTATGGTTTCTCATGGTTCTTCTCAGGCAACTCAGCCTCCGGTCAGGTGGGTGCGTGCGTGACCTTCACTGCTCCTGCTTACACCAGGTCCCCAGAGGGATGGGGAGAGCAGCTACACTCTGATGAGCAAGGTCGGCAGTGGAGATGCAGGTGTGGTGCTCACCCTGAGTACCTGGTGACTGTACAGCTCTGTTGTCTCAGATGGTGCAGACCTTTGTAGGTGCTGCCTAACTGACTCCTAAGGCTAGGACTTTAGCCACTTGGCAGGTGAGGACACATTTGAATTACAACCAAATGACAACTTTAGCTGGTATAACTACTTTGATTATTCAAGATGACTAAAGTTCATATAGTTGACTTCAGTTCAAGCCTTTTGGCTTTAACCTATTCTAGAAATAGTCAGCCATGAAATCTGGGTCTGGCTCAGAGTGCTTACTTTGACTACATCTTTTCTATTTTCAGTTCTGCTTTGGAAGGAGGAGTGAAGTTTTCCTGAGCTAATACTGCACACGTGTAGAAAAACAGTATTTTGAAGGTAGCAGCTGAATGGCGGGTTGTCACAGAATAAGGAATTATGCTATATAAAGACAAAATAAACAGGAAGAAAGCCAGTAAAGCATTTTATAGAGAACAGCAATCTGACTCCTTGAGCTTAAGGAAATGGACTGCATATAATGTATGTGGTAAAATAGTTATTCGTATTATGCAAAGTCGTAGCTGACAGTGTGCAGCTACATGAGAACTGCTGCCACTGGGATTTTGGGCAGAACAGGGCTGATTCTGTGGGTTTCAGTGCTTTATAGGATTGTGCTTAGATCTAATGTCCACAGGACTAATTGTTACATTCTGAATGCCAAGGACAAAAACTGTGTTTGCACTAACCTGCAGGAAAACTCTCTGTTAAATAACCATTTAAGTTCACAAGACAAAAATGAAAATAATTTTCTCAGAATTTCATAGAAAATATGTTATGAATGTACTTGCATATATTTAGTGTTTTATTTAAAACAAAAAAGTAATTGTTACATTCTGAATGCCAAGGACAAAGCCTGTGTTTGCTCTAACCTGCAGGAAAACTCTCTGTTCAATAACCATTTAAGTTCACAAGACAAAAATGAAAATAATTTTCTCAGTATTTTATAGAAAATAAGTCATGAATGTACTTGCATATATTTGGAGTTTTATTTAAAAAATCTTACTTGTCTACCCCACAGTCCAAGCAGTATTCTCAAAATAGTTACCTGCTTAAATTTTTTTTTAATTATCTTTTTTTTTTTTTTTTGTGGGCAGAGAAGTACCTGTCTCATCAAAACTACAGCTGAAGAACAGTCCAAGCAGTATTCTCAAAATAGTTACTTGCTTAAAAATAAAAATGATAATTAAAAAAAAGTTATTTTTTTTGTGGGTAGAGAAGTACCTGTCTCATCAAAACTACATCCTAAGCAGTTGAAGCAATATATCCCAGGTGCATATTTGTTACACCCTCTTAAATACTCGCAAAGGACATTAGCTCTAAAGGTTTGGTACATGTCTGTTAATTTACACTGTGGTACCTGTTAAGCTTCACAGATAACAACGTATATTTCTTTAGGTTAGAGCCTTATGCAAAGTCGTAGCTGACAGTGTGCAGCTACATGAGAACTGCTGCCACTGGGATTTTGGGCAGAACAGGGCTGATTCTGTGGGTTTCAGTGCTTTATAGGATTGTGCTTAGATCTAATGTCCACAGGACTAATTGTTACATTCTGAATGCCAAGGACAAAAACTGTGTTTGCACTAACCTGCAGGAAAACTCTCTGTTAAATAACCATTTAAGTTCACAAGACAAAAATGAAAATAATTTTCTCAGAATTTCATAGAAAATATGTTATGAATGTACTTGCATATATTTAGTGTTTTATTTAAAACAAAAAAGCTTACTTGTCTACCCCACAGTCCAAGCAGTATTCTCAAAATAGTTACTTGCTTAAAAATAAAAATGATAATTAAAAAAAAGTTATTTTTTTTGTGGGTAGAGAAGTACCTGTCTCATCAAAACTACATCCTAAGCAGTTGAAGCAATATATCCCAGGTGCATATTTGTTACACCCTCTTAAATGCTAGCAAAGGACATTAGCTCTAAAGGTTTGGTACATGTCTGTTAATTTACACTGTGGTACCTGTTAAGCTTCACAGATAACAATGTATATTTCTTTAGGTTAGAGCCTGGGAAATGATGTGAACACAGTGGTATGGGGGAAGAATCTCACTCTACAGAAGATGGCAAGTCTTGTGAAGAGCAGCAGACACAGTTGGAATGCAAGTATTTGACATACTATATAATCATCTGGAAATTAGTTTTAACAACCAATTCAACTTCTTCGCCCAGAGATTCAGATACTTGTGTCATATTTCTGAGGTAGTTCCTGAAACTACAGTCCCACTAATTGCTTTGAGTTTCTCAGGAAGAGGAACAGCTGTTGGAATTTAAGAACAAAGATCACAAAAGCCCCAAGTTCCTTGGCTGGAAATGCTCCCTACCAAGTTGCCTGCCTAGATTTTCTTTACGGAAATTAACTGTTTGCCAGTTTCAACTCAAACTCTTTCATACACAGCTTTATGATGAATACTGTCTAGTTCTTGGTTAGTAATTCATGGAAAATAATATTGTGAAGCATTCCCCTTAGAACTGAAAAATCAATTTACTGTTTCTCTCTGGTGGCTGCTGGTTACAACCCATCACGAAGTTACTCTTGCCACGCTGGGGTAATTTGCCCAAACTTGTCACATCTCATCATGTAAAGTTGGTCATTTATTTTGCTGTCCTGATTCTTCAGTATCAACTTTCAGTCTAGTAGTCTGTTTCAATTTATACCTCTATTTAAAATAGACATATATCTCTCTACCAGTTGAATGCAAGCAATGCCTGCAAACTATTAAAACCTTCCAGTACACAGTCAAGAGGCTTCCGTTTCTAATTGCTGCTTGACAAATAAATCCATAGTGCATGGCCTATTTATGGTCCTCATAAAAATGCTCCCATATCTTAAAAAAATCTTAAAAATAGTGCATGGCCTATTTATGGTCCTCATAAAAATGCTCCCATATCTTAAAAAAATATCACCTAGACTTCCACTAGATGAAATATTTTCCCACAGTAGTACAGCAGCGTGGTGCCTGCTGCTCAGATTGATTTTGTTCTGAAAATAAACATATATGTTTTATGGAGGTAAAGAGAGAGCAGACTTAGCTGCAGGATTAAGTATTGGGTTGGGCTTTGTATTGTTGCACTGCTGGTTTTTGGGTGAGCTCGTAGGTTTGCTCAGCGAAGGACAATTTTCCAGGCATCCAGAAATAACTTGGTGAGCCCAGCTCAACGTGGGCAACCAGCTGGATAGACAGGCATGTGTTAATGGGAAAATAAAGTGTCTTGACTGGGGGAAGAACCATGTGTTATTCAGCTGCCTATGACTCCCATCTGATCCTTCCTGGGGACATGAGCAACGTTCAGAACAGCTTTGGGAGGACCTGCTGCTCGGTCACGTATTTTATAGCCCTTACCTAAAAACCAACCTGGAGCACATGTTTAAACAATTTGCTGTCCAAGCAGCCCTATCACCTCTTGAAGTTTAAGGGGGGCTACCCTTGAGCTTAAGTGCTCTCCTGGACTGGAGCCTTGCCGAGCTATGAGATTGTCTGGTTTGGCTCTACCTCTTGTATGGACAGTTGATATGTTGTCCCATAAGGCGGTGTAAAGTTGGCCACCCTCCTCCCTTCCCCACTGCCCCAGTCTCTTGGGAGGTCCGGCCTCCCTCTGCCCAGAGGTATTAAGCCCACTGTCATTTCAGGTTCTGGGACTCAGGTCACCCAGGTCTACCCCTGTGAACACCTCTGGCAGAATTCCAGCTGCTGAGGATGTGGTGGTGAAAATGTTTGCACTGTTTAAACAGCAAGACCCTGTGCACTGCATACACTGTTTAAACAGCAAGACCCTGTGCACTGGGATGTGCTGGGAAAGCTTTGCATGAAATATCTGCTCTCCCTTTACTGCCTGTAAACTGCAGGATCCTAAGGGTTCTTCTCACAAGTCACTCCATCTGAGGTGGGCAGTTACAGGCCAATATGGCTGTACTTTCCCCGTTTGCCCACAAGATAAGAGAATTTAGGTTAATTTTCCATAAACCTCAGTAAGCTTAAAAGAATGTGGTCTGCTATGTTCATCAGCTATGCCTGAGATGTGACAATTTTGTGTGCAAGAATATCTTTCATAAAAGTTGTTTCTACGTGCTGGAAACATTAACATGTACCTTGCTTATCAGAAAGAAAAACTAAACATAAAACCACCTAACTCTTTCACAGCTACTTAATGCAGCTGTGGATTGATGTCCTCCTCTGTGGTCTCCTACCTGAACTGCTCAGAACAATGAAGAGTCAATATTCCCAGCAGTACATATAAATACAGAGTAACAGTATAAATACATGCACGTACCTGGGTAAGGAATCTTTCCATATGTAACGATTTCATACAGGAGAATCCCAAATGACCACACATCAGATTTAATAGTGAAAGATCCGTAGTTTATTGCCTCCGGTGCTGTCCATTTAATAGGGAATTTTGCACCTAAAAGAAAAAAAAGTACAGTCTCAATCAGTCCAAGGCAAATTTAAACACTTAAGTCACTAAAAGGTCGTACACGACTTGCCTATGATACTCCTAAATTAGCAAAGTTTCAGCAACTGCTGTTCAAGAGTTACCAGCAGAGACTGCTGTGAGATGCGTGTTGCCACACTGCCTGTCCTGCGTCAGAAGGGCAGGTGAGATGCTGGAAGTTACACAGCACCTTTTGACTCCTGGGTGTGGTGAATTTTTGCTAAAATCACAGTCGCCATTTTCCCTTCTGCCCAGTGGTCGGGCAATAATCTTACAATTCCCATCAGCTGGAACTTCACAAGACTTTAATTAACTTTTCCTATTTTATAGAAAGTCAGTCCAGCTTCAATATACGTTTTAACCATTCAGCCATTCAGATACAAAAGAAGTAGCAAGTCATATCTTAAAAACCTGTATCTTAAAATACTGTCTTTCATGTCTAATTAACTGATTTCATAAAATCCCATATCACAGAATCATAGAATGGTTGGGGTTGGAAGGGACCTTAAAAATCATTGAGTTCCAACCCCCCTGCCCTGGGCAGGGACACCTCCCACCAGACCAGGTTGCTCCAAGCCCCATCCAGCCTGGCCTTGAACACTTAAAGCAAACTTTTATAAAAGCAAACTCCTTCCAGTTAAATATGAAGAGTTCAAGCAGCCTTTGTTGGGGAATATGACACTAGCTTTTCAGACAACAAAGAGAAATACAAGCCTGTGTTTCTCTCTCTGCCCTTTTTAGCCTGCTCTACCCTTCTGGCACAAGATGCCAGGTAAGCTTGGAAAGTTTTCTGAATGGCAGAAAACACATCAAAGAAACTGAGCCTAAAGAATGTATAACCTGAAAGGTGCATTTAATCAATATACAATGTCAGAGCTAGCTGAGAAACACAGATATGGGTTCTGCACCTCCGTAAACACCTTAAGCAGACCCTTCCCTCTGATCTATTGAATTACTGTTACCCAGTGACTGCTGAACAGCTCATCTTCCTTTAATCTCAACTGTAGTGCATTGTTCTCTTTCTTCCTCATACCCTAGTTCTTCCCCTCTCCTCCTACATCCTTTTAATCTCAACTGTAGTGCATTGTTCTCTTTCTTCCTCATACCCCAGTTCTTCCCCTCTCCTCCTCCATCCTACATCCCGCAGTTTCCACCCAGACTGTGTCAAAATGTGAGGTGGCCTCTTTTAAAAGGCGAGGGGGAAGGTTACCCTAACGCAGCCTGTGCCTGGAAGCAGAAATGAAATATTTCTCCCTACAAGGAACTGACTGCGCGCTTCCTGAAAGGAGCCTCGATAACATCAGCAAAACATGGCACGCCCCCGAAAAATACCTTTAATAGTGTCACGTCCCCTCTGTCCTGGCCCTGCCACCCGGGTGCCAAACAGGGAGGTGACCCGGCCTGCCCGCGTCCCCAGCCGTGCTGCCCAACACCCAAACCTGTGCTGCAGCACCTAAAGCAGCTTCACAAGAGAAGCAGGGCTGCCAAAGGTTCCCTTGTTACCAGCAACTCCGCCTGCTGGGGTTCCTTCCTTGCCCTCAGCAAAAGGAGGCGCACGGGGCACTTAAGGATGTGACAAGAAAATAAGATGGTATTTTCTTGGCATTTAATTCAAGGGGATGGAAGCTGCGGGTGTGCAGTCAATTTGTTCAATTTAGAAAAATTTATGTGCTGCTCCACACTTCCAGTTTTTTATTTTTTTTTTAGTTCTTCAATTTATTTAAACTTTTCAAAAAGCCTGGGGAGCACAGGAAGGTTATTTGTTTCCTTATTCATTTTAAAAGTTGTTGGCGTTAGAAGGCTGCCTCTAGGAAGTTGTTACAGCATTTTCTGTCCTTGGTGACCGTATTATTGTTAGACCCAGCCTGGCTGCCTCCCAGAGGCTGAAGTTTTAAAGGCAAAAATGAAAATACATACCTTCCCTTGCTGTGTATTCGTTGTCTTCGATGACTCTGGCTAGCCCAAAATCAGCAATTTTGCACATCAGTAAGTCCGAAACCAGGACGTTGGCTGCTCTCAGGTCTCGATGGATGTAGTTTTTCCTTTCGATGTACGCCATCCCTTCTGCAATCTGTTGAGCAAAGAAACAACTGGTTTGGTATTTCCACACCTCACACCACCAGCAGCAGCTCTCACCTCTCTGTTCTCTCAAGCCACATCCATTTATTCGCCACCAGTATCTTTGGAGCATTTTTTTTAGGTGGAAGCAAGGGAAGTGTGATTGGTGTGGAAAACCCACAGGTCGAGCCAGTCCTGCAAAGCCATACTTAACAGTAGCAGCTTCAAAAGAGAGCAAAGAAACAACTGGTTTGGTATTTCCACACCTCACACCACCAGCAGCAGCTCTCACCTCTCTGTTCTCTCAAGCCACATCCATTTATTCGCCACCAGTATCTTTGGAGCATTTTTTTTAGGTGGAAGCAAGGGAAGTGTGATTGGTGTGGAAAACCCACAGGTCGATCCAGTCCTGCAAAGCCATTCTTAACTAGCAGCTTCAAAAGGATTGTTTGGGTGAATAACAGCTGGCAGGAGTAGAGATACCTATTAGAGACATTTCCTGTGACAAAGTCTTCATTACAACGCTCCTAAGATTTCTATCAAAATATTCTCTTCCCCAAATTATTAACCAGTTTATTTTCCAAATACTAAGAAAATGGAAGGAATTAAACAAGCCAGGGATGTTCTTTAAAGGGCTGATGAAGCAACGGTGCAGATAAGAGTTTAAAAAACCCCAACAACTCTCTATTTACCCAGAATAGGCCTAGACAATCAGGAAACAATTACTAAGATACGGCAAACAACTTTATTTTCTTTTACAGTAGCGTGTCCCTGTTCACACCCGAGGAGCGTTTGTCAACAGCTCTCTCTCAGATACTATCATAAGTAAATCTAATTTGTATTTCAGCACCCCAAATTAATTTCCAAACCAAATTAAAGATGATTAACATCCTCAAAATATGCACTGGGGGTGATTTTTTTTTTTTTCAGTATTTGCCCAGACTAATACATTTTTTTTTCTTCCTGAAGAAAAATATTTTACTTTTCAGTAAGAAAGAAACTGAAATAATAGTTTCTAAAACTCAGAGCAATAAAACCGATGTCCAAATGTTTCAGAGGATCTAGAAAAAAAGAAAAAGAAACCTTGTGCTTGTGAGCTGTCAGTCTTTATCTCCATTTTAAGACCCCGGGTCATCCCCGCGGTGCGACCTGTGCCACTGGTCCCTCTCCCGGGTGCCGGGGGGTTGGTGACAGACACCTCGCTCTCGGCCACCTGCTTTGGGGAATCCTCAGGCTCTCAGATTTCATAGAATCATAGAGTTGTCCAGGCTGGAAGGGACCTCCAAAGGCCATCTAGTCCAACCCCCCCACAGTCAGCAGGGACACCCCCAACTAGACCAGGTTGCCCAGGGCCTCGTCGAGCCTCTCCTTGAATATCTCCAGGGAAGGGGCCTCAACCACCTCCCTGGGCAACCTGTTCCAGTGCTCCACCACCCTCACAGTGAAGAACCCTCTCCTAATCTCCAGTATAAATCTGTTCCCCTCCAGCTTGAAGCCATTGCCCCTCGTCCTGTCACTGCAGGCCTTTCTAAACAGGCTCTCCTCAGCCTTCCTGTAGGCTCCCTTCAGGTACTGGAAGGCTCATGAAGCTGCAGGAGAGCATCACGGGTCCTTCTCCAGTCCCCAACACACCCATACACGGGCTCTCTCCTCTCCACCTCGGGAGCAGACAAGAGCACACATCCCTGCTCGCTGCCAGAGGTGCCCGCTCCAGCCCTGCAGCAAAGCAGGCAGGAGCACTCGACCAAATTTTAAGAAAACACGAACATCACTTCTGCTTACCCCCCTTTTAAGAAGTCCCCGAGGGGTACTGCGAAGGCACACGCTGCCTCCACTTACAAAACCACACCGTCTTCGTTCCTCTTTTTTCGGTTTAGGCAATGGAAAAAAAAAAATAAAAAAAAAAAAAAAAAAAAAAAAAAAAAAATCGAGCCTCTTGCCCTCCCACTGCAAACCTCTTCTTACAAACCCATCACTCTGCAGAGCTGAACCTTACATTGCCCTGGTACAACGCAGGGGGCTTCTCACACTAAGCCAGAAAGAAACTCGGGTGATGAAGAGAACGAAGAACACCTGCATTTCACCTTGTCTAGAAATAACGAAGAGGTTTTATAATGAAGGAAGCAGCTACTGGTGAATGATTGCCACAGGGTGTCCTACCAGAGACTTCCAGAGGAGTAGCAGTTGATTAGATACTGCTCTGTTTCTCTCTCCTCCCCACGTGGTGACTTTGGGGAGGAAGGAGAGAGGAAAGGGAAGGTTTTGCCGTAAGATGAATGCTGAGATTGGACGGGCCAGCTTGGCAGATAGGACCAAAATGCAGACAGATCCCCTAACGTCACCAAAAAATGCATCAGCCACCACAAAGGAACCCACTTCCCTCCTACTTCCCTGCACAGATGTAATGTTTTGGTGAACTGCTGGCTGGGGAATGAAGAACCACTTCACGAAAGAGACATTCGTGCCGATATTACTTAGTTTCCAAACCCAACCGAGCAAAGTCATTGGAAAGACCATTTTATTTCCTCGTATTTCTGCCAGACTCAGTGAAGTCATCATCTGATTAGTCACAAACGAAGAATGTGACCTCAAACGATCCATTCTGTTTTCAGCAAATAGAAACTGCATTTCCCTGTAATTCCAGGAGAAGGATTTTGACTTTGAATCAGAGAAATTCAAAGAAGCCACGTACGTGCAAGCATTTGGGCAGGCAGAAAATACCCAAGTGGGAAAAGAATAATGGGCAGGGAAATTTGAATGGGAGGAGGAGGGGAAATACAGCCACTGGACAACTGAGTTCACACATCTGGTCATGTTAAACCTTTACTTGTGGGAAAAGGAAAAAAAAAAGATTATTTTTTTATCAAGGGAACGGGTGCCAAAGCCCGTGTAATAACTCTTTACAATAATTGTTGGGTTTTCATTGCCAAATGATACGTTAAATGGAGGGAAATTCACAGGAACAAAAGAAGATTAAAGCCCTTTTCCCCTTCTTTTAATGTTCATTGGGACCTGTCAAGACTGTTCAGCTCCATGTAACTACTACTCGGGAGCAGGAAGAGAAAGCTAATTTGGGCTCCTGGAATAGCATGTTGTGGCCTTTAAGAGAGGGTTCTGCCTACATGGCACAAGTGTTACTACCAAGAAGGGAGCAAGTTTCTCCTTTGCCTTGAATGAATTACGGACACACTTCTAGAAATACCCAATTTCAATCCTTTTAAAAACAACCAACCAAGAAATCTCGAAATACCAGGAAATAGGCACCCTGGTTAAGAATGGAAGAAAAGTCTTCTGGAAGAAATAAATCACAAGACAGCCTCCGTACTGTAAAGCTTCAGCTAAAACTCAGGCAATAAATAAACAACTTGGAGCTGCAGTTCTGCTCTGTCACCCATTTGGGGTGTGATTTCAGCCGGCAGCGCTCTTTCCTCTCTGTTTCTGCTCTTTCTACCTGTAGACCAGGGTAATTACTTAAATTTCTGGAACACTTAGAATCATAGAATCGTCTAGGTTGGAAGGGACCTTAAAGATCATCTAGTCCAACCATCAGCCTAACTCTGACAAAAAAATAAATAAGAAAAACAAAAACAAACCAAAACAAAATCCACAAAAAAACCCCCCACAACACTAAACCATAGTCTTGAGGACCATGTCAACCCGTCTTTTGAACACCTCCAGGGATGGTGCCTCAACCACTTCCCTGGGCAGCCCATTCCAGCCCAGCTGGATAACGCTTTCCATGAAGAAATTTTTCCTAGTATCCAACCTGAACCTCCCCTGGCGCAACTTGAGGCCATTTCCCCTTGTCCTATCTCCTGTGACTTGGGAGACAAGACCGACCCCAGCTTCTCTATACCCCGCAATGACTCACTTATGGGTCATTCCACAAATAGGTATAAAACTCTCTCAAAATCCTGAGAGAAAACGGTAGCGAACGCATGGCACATAGGAGGATGCTTTGGAAACATTGCATTCCCTACTTTCTGACCCATTCTTTTAGCTTCTGAAGGTGTTCGGGGGAAGAGGCAAATGCAGGAAAGGACTTGGAAGGAAGGAGGGGAGAACCTACTGTCACAGAAGAGCTACACCACCCGAAAAGCAAACGCACTTTATCACAAGTCTAAGAATTCCTTGGTGAAACGTCACAGAATCACAGAATGATATGGCATTGGAAGGGACCTCTGGAGATCATCTCGTCCAACCCCCCTGCCAAAGCAGGTCCACCTAGAGCAGGTTGCACAGGAACGTGTCCACGCAGATTTTGAATGTCTCCAGAGAAGAAGACTCCACCACCTCCCTGGGCAGCCTGTTCCAGGGCTCTGCCACCCTCAAAGTACAGAAGTTCCTCCTCATGTTTAGATGGAACTTTCTGTGTTCACATTTGCACCCATTACCTCTTGTCCTGTCACTGGGCACTACTGAAAAAAGACTGGCCCCTTCCTCTTGACAAGATTTAAGTATTTAGGCTTTAAGTATATCCCTTTAAGTATTTATAGGTGCTGATCAGACCCCCCCCTCAGCCTTCTTTTCTCCAGACTGAAAATGCATTGCATGTGCATTTCTAGGCTGGACGTAAAAACGTGGAACACTAAAGAGGCCAGATGGGTTTGTTTAGGTCAGTCTGATGGGATTTTTTTACATCATGCTGAGAATGCATTATATCACGCTCAGAAGGAAAACTAAGCGACAGGGATCAAGAAACAGAGTGGAATAAAAACGAAAAGGAATCAGAGAATGGCCAAACATGAAGATTTGTATTTTTTTCAGGATAGCAAATTTTAAACAGCCTGGAGGGCAGACAGGTACAACCTCATGGGAGAACTGAGTCTTTGTCAGGAAGTGTAGTGACAAGACAGGGGGTAACAATTTTAAATTGGAAGAGGGGAGATTTAGATGAGATATCAGGAAGAAATTCTTTCCTGTGAGGGTGGTGAGACACTGGAACAGGTTGCCCAGAGAAGCTGTGGCTGCCCCATCCCTGGAGGGGTTCAAGGCCAGGCTGGATGGGGCTTG